CAGATGAGGACTTGAGTTAAGATCCCCAGCACCTCTGTAAATGCAGGATGTTGGGGCATACATCTCTTACTTTACTGCTGGGGGTGAACGGAGACTGTTTTCAAAGTTCAATTCCATACAACCTAGCTAACTTGTGATCTCTGGGTTCCACGAAGGAATTTCTGAAGAAGCTAGGTATAGGAAATAGGGAACACACCTGACTTGTTCGACCTCTGGCCTTCAAGCGTACACGCATGCACATAAAGACTCAGATGCACTACATATACATACATACTTTAAAAATATTAAAAAGAAATATAACACCATGGAAAGAATAAAGATCTTTCAGATATTCTACATAAGTACAGTCGTTAAAATCTTCTGTAATTCTTTAGAAATATTATTCAAAAAATACCAGCCAGGCAAGCACAAAAAGACAAAATTATAGAACATAAAAGAGAAGAGCAGAAAATTAATTATGTCTGTCAAGTGTCAAAAGTGTTCAGGTTGGAGACACCAGAGCGAAGGAGGGGAGGAGAGTGGAAAGGATGACAGACTTGCACTACAGAGGGTATGCAACGAGCAGACTGGGTCAAAAAAGACTCACATCCTAACCAATGTTCAGAAAACAAGATAAGAAGAAGAGTTCTTAAGAATTTCCGGCAATGGGAAACACCGCTCATGCAGGGAAAATACAATTAAGTAGCATTGACCTTATCAGTGGATGCACTGATAAGAGAAAATGGCTTGTCACTTACAACCCTGTCTCCCTCAAACTATAACGCGTCTAAGGAGGAAATGAACGCATCTCTGAAATACAATGTCTTAAAACAATTATCCTAGAATATTGTTTTTCTAGATGCTACTTAAAATGTAATAAAAATGAAAGAGCAAACACTGACAAAGGAAGACATAGGGCACATGTTTCAAGAGAGCGAAAAATAGAGTCCCAGGATTATGTGTGTTTGAAACTCAGAGAGAAATCAAAAAGGCTAACAATTTTCAAAAGATCATCTAGAAGAAAGTCACTGGAACTAATTCTTTGTTGAGTGAATGTGTGGAAGAATTTTTGCATTTGGTTCTCAGAGAAGTTAGGAAAATGACTTAACCATAATTATCAACATACATTGCTTAATAATAGCCCTTGACTGTGGAGAGGTTCATGTACACAGGAGTACTATATGATCTTGTAAATAGTCACAGTACAGCTATCTTAATGTAGGCACACTCTTATAAAAACAACAACAACAACAACGAAAAAGCATTTGAAGATGTGTTTTTCAGAAGGCATCCCTGTCAGGAAAGGATGGGTGTGTAGAAAGTTACGCACACATATTAAAGTTGGCTCAGAAAGATGACTGAGTAGGTAAAAATGTCTGTTGCCAAACCTGATGGTCCTCCAGATCGGCAGTGCTAGACTGGGACCGTGGAGACACAGTCTCTGGACCGATCAACTACTGGCCTCTCTGCTTTGGGGAGTGAGACATATATTGTTGAACTATTTCCACCAAATGCTCAAGCCCTTAAATGAATATATATTTTCTAGAATATATATGAGTATATATATATATATTCTAGAATTTGACTAATATACCAGGTATTTGATAAATGTGAGAAACAATCTATATTTCCTTCCTCAATTTTTTTTATGAAAACAATCGAATAAGATAAGAGAAAGACAGCACTTTTGCATATGGAGGCAAAATCTAACTAGATTTTTTTTCTTTGTTGTTTGTCTTTTAGGTCACAAAATAGTTCTGAATTGACAGGGGATTCCTGACTATTTTCAGCTCTGTCATCCCCGCCAGCATCATTGTACATCAGAAAAAGTTCTCTTTTACCTTGGCCAAGGGCCAGCACCTATACAACAAACACTTAAATTCCCTTTTAAGATTTATTTAATTGCCTGTGTGTATATATGTTCATTCCTGGTGCCTTCAGAGGTCAGAAGAGGGTGTTGGATCTTCTCCCACTGCAGTCACAGTCTGTGCAGTCACAGTCAGCCATGTGGGCGCTGGTAACTAAATCTGGGTCTTCAGGAAAAGCATCACACCCTCTTAAGTGCTGAGCCTATGCTCTACCCAGAAATCTCTTGATTGACCACCACTCTGCATTGGACCCGTGTTCATCCACTTCCTCTCTTCTTCAGACAACTGCTCCGTGCAATTATTAGACTCATTGGAAATTATATAAGATTCATACACAGTTTCATTTTCACAGCGTTTTGAGACATGATCTCACTATGGACCCTGCCTGGTCTGATAGTCTATGTAGCTGCAATCTGCTCCAATCTCCCTGTTTTAGCCTCCCAATCTGCCTATTTTAGCCTCTCAAGTGTTGGGATCACAGGCACGTGACTCAGTGCCGACAGTCACATTTTGACAGGGAAAACGCATTGTCACATGGTTAACCTTTAATTAATATGAATACCTTTTTCCAAAAGAAAACTGAATTATAATTTTGGGGGAGAAATAGGTATTGCCATTTTCTAATACCAGCTACCAGATACATTCTGCAAAGCAGTTATTGTATCAGAAAATCAAATTATCTGGGAAAATTTCGAGTTGACTCTGAGCAACTGGTTTATATAATACTCATTTTCAAGTAAACTAAAGACAATCATATTTGTATCTTAGACATTTCTGCCATTTCATTCTTACTGTTTCCACTTAGACGACTCATCTCTTGGAAATAATATGGAAATAATTCCCAAGGAGACTGACTGTCCTACAAGAAGAAGCAGGTGCAATCTGTGAACTGTCTTTTCTGTCTCTAGGCTAATGTGGAATGTATGCAATACCTTTGCATTTACTTCACTATAATAACCTTACAGATATCAAAGCCTACATCAAACTATGGACTTAATTCTTTAATGCAATATCAGTGATTATATGGAAGGCAGTCTATGATTGCTGGTGCTAATGGAACTGGGTGCAAGGGGTTAGGGTAGAGATCAGTAAGCTCATCTCTCTACTCTGGCTTTTAAAGACACTTAATTGTTTTATTATTTGTGTGTTACCATGACAATATCTGATAGAGACAACTTAAGGGACAAAGGAATTATCTTTGCTTATGGTTTCATCCATCAAAATGGAGAAAAGATGTTGAAGAAGCTCAACCTTGGCAGAATTGATTCCCATCATCATGGGCCAGAATTCAAAGAGAAAGCTAGGAAATGGGGAACCTGATTCCAGAGGATCTCACCCCAATGATCTACTGCATTCCTCCAGCTAAGTATCACTTTCCAAATTCCCATGACCTTCCAAAATAGTGCCAACCAGTAAGAACCAAGTGTTCAAATCATAAAGCTGTGAGGAATAGTCCACATTCAAGCCACAACAATGAATATATACACACAAACCTCCAAAATGTTGCTTAATATTAGAAAAATGCAAACTAAAGAAATAGTTTATTGGTTAGAAAAAACAGTGCAGGAGATAATGAATCCATAGACTTCTAGATATATACTAAGGGAAATCTCTAAGAACCCTTCAATAAACAGGACTGGATTCTTGCTCCTATACATTGATACCTTCTTCAGATTCAATTTTCTAAAACTTTCAACAAATGCTTGCTCTCATTGTTGCTTCGACAAGGCAATGCAAACCATGACTGTAGACGAGACTATAGGGTACCCTGATTAGCTCAGAGATGGTCTCTTCTTCTATCCATGCCCCTCATCTGTAATTTTTCCTTCTGTTTATTAGCTTTTAGTTTTACTGTGGCTCCTCTAAAAGACAATACAAACAATGAGGACCCTAAGAAAGACATACATATATCTAATCTACATGGGAAATAGAAAAAGACAAGATCTCCTGAGTAAATTGGGAGCATGGGGATCTTCGGAGAGGGTTGAAGGGGAGGGGAGAGGTAGGGAGGGGAGCAGAGAAAAATGTAGAGCTCAATACAAATAATAAACAAAAAGACAATACATACTTGGTGATTGAAAGAACAATCATTAATTTAATTAGCTTGAAGTTTCAGAAGTTTGAAGCATGATGTTAGTTTTCTGTGACTATAATCTTGGTGTATCTACTCTCTGCAAAGATTTGGTGGAGAGCCCATCTGTTTGTTCCTATGGCTTTTATGGCTACCTTTCATGATGATTGACCAGCTGAGAGTAACTTCTTGGTTTAGTAGTGCCATCGCTTCCTGATGTTGCAAAGTTCCTTTATGCAAGGAGCCTAGAAATACATTGAGGGTCTAGCAGGATGTAACAGAATATTCCATCATACCAAAATCTCCAGCCATATTTGAAAAAAGCCTTCTAAATAAAACTGGCACTCACAGGTATTTGGGACTGAAATGTTCATATCTTGAAGGAATTACTGCTTAGTCTATCACACTTCATTCAGTTGTAAGACTGAGGGAAAAGAGGTGTAAATAACGTGTATCAGGACTAATATGCTTTTCTTCTGTAATCGTATATCTAGGGCAATGTTTCTCCCTGTATTTTCAATTACAATTGATTTTAACTTTGATGGACAAATGATAGTATTTTATAGAATGTGGCAGTGCATAGTTGGAAGATGGAGACTCTTGACTTGAGTCTGACCTGTCATAAAGTCATCAGTTCTAAGGACAGTGTGACTGTTACACATGTCTTCAAACTATAGTATTAGTGTTCTTTGGTTTCAAGTTAGAATTGGGTGTAGTTCAGAGTTTTATCCATGTACAATAAAATGGCTGAAAAATAGATGAAGTGAAATTGAGCACGTTTTCTATTTTCTGTAGTTCACGAGGGACTAAATGAGTTTCAACAGTAATCTGATACTAAATATCTGATATTGTGTAAAGTAACTCAGGTTGTCTCACTGCTGTGCATTTAAATTCTCTTGTGAGCAGCACAACTCGTCTTCAGTTGGGTTGTTCTGCCTTCTTGTGTGTGTGTGTGTGTGTGTGTGTGTGTGTGTGTGTGTGTGTGTGTGCGCGCGCGCACGCGTGCACGCACAATTGGTGAATCATTTGAAGTCTCATTATCAAAATGCTGTCGTGCTATAACATTCTTTCATGTTTTTTAGACTCCCACAGGAAAACGGCACAGGTTCTCTGGCTTGGAATCATTACTGTCACCCTTTATGCATCTGTGATCTCTGATTTCTCTACTTGACCAAAGGTACTAAACATTGAGGGGATAGAACACTACTGTGGATGAGAATTGAATATAAAGATTATGGGGGTTATGTTTTAACTGGAACTAGAATCTGCAATGAGATTTAACACAATTTTCCTATGCACAGAATCCCAAATGCTGGTGGTTCATCAGTGCATCCATTCCATAACTTGGAAAGTTAATGAATATTTAATTTTAGTCAGGTGCTTTGAAGAAACTGACATTTCAGTTGCTAGAATTTCCTGTGTGCCTCCCCAAGAAAGCCTTCAATCTGCATTGAACATTTTTTTTATAGTAAGAGATGTTACATTAAAAGATAATATATTTCCAACACAATACATGTAAATGTGTTGAAATGAAGAAAAGTGTTATTTTTAATCACTGAATTTACTTGGACAGTTAAAATGAAATTCAATAATTTCCAGAAAACAGAATGAAGTCATGTTGTTGGCCATCACCAAAGAGGCTAAGAATAAGAAGAGAAAGTAAATGATAAATCCCACCTTGGTGTGTGGCTACTGAATTCATCACGTTTTCAAGCACACTCTTATGGGTATCAGTTTGAAGACTTCCACATCTTATAGTATTTTTTTTTTACATACTATGGGTGTGGTGTACACGTTTGCATGTATGGGAGTGTGTATGTGAGGTGGGGAGTGCAAAGCATGAGTGTCAAGACAAGACTGACATGATTGTCTTTCTTGATCACTCTCTACCATGTGTCCTGAAGCAGGGTCTCTTGCGAAAGAAGCTCCCAATTTAGACTAGTCCACTAGTCAACATGGTGGAGGGATCACCTGTTTCTACCTTCTGTGTGCTGGTATAATGGGCAGGCAACCACTTTACCCACTGAGCCATCATTAGCCTGTTTTAATTTTTTTTATTTGTAAATATCTATTGGTCTCGAATTCATTCAAAGACATGAGAAAACTATGCAAAACAACACAATAAAGCTATACAACAAATGATGGCTTTGGTATCTTTGGAAAAAAAAGAGTTCATTTGTGTACTCTGGCTTAGTACAGGTACTAATAACTGTATGATTAAGTTTGTAAGGCATCGTGTTTTAAAAGTTGCCTTTCAAATACATTTCTGCTGGTCCCATACTTCTCTTTTTAAATTCTTAAGCCACACAAAAGAGATGGTAAAATGAAAATATGTCTAATCAAAATAATTTCGACTATCAGATAAATATTGAAATGATTACCTTTTGTGAGACTCGCATGTGAGAACCAAACTTTCAAAGGGCAATGAGAGAAATCTGGGATTAATATTTCAACCTCAATTTTTTTAGCCTTCCATAAATAACTGTAGAGAGACCAATTTTGTTAATAACCTTAAATTATACAAGAATTAGTTGAATTTCTGGATCCGAGGCTTACAATAAGGTAGCAGGGCATTCAGGGAGCTGTGTGTTATAACCTCCAATAACATCTCTTCTGTTACTGCATAGCATGCCCTGAACCTTTAATGACTGAAAATGGGACTTTTTGAAATAACAGTTACATTTAATTTAAACCTAAAAATGGAAACTTGCTGGCATTTTCCCATAAGTACAGTGTTACAAATGACATAAAGAAAAGGAAGCGCACATTAAATTATTAACCCCTGATTGGAGTTGGATGAAACACACGTAAGGTAATACTTATTTTAGAAGCCTAATTTTCTACTTAATAATTTGTTATTCATAATGTCTGTAATTATTTGAATGATTTTATTTTAAAAGGCATTTCTAGGAGAAAACAGAGACTTAGACAAAAGAGGTGAATTCTTTTCATTGGCAGGAGTGAGATTTTTGCTTTCCGAAAGAGAAGGAACATAGGTCAGATAAGCCCTTCATCTTCCTCAATTATCCTACTTATAAGCAGCATGGTGGGGGGGAGGATTGGACCATCAGCCTGCTTTTCATCTCTAGTTTCTTCATCTTTACAGCCCAAGAAAAGTGAATTAGAAATCTTATTTGGTTAATTTTGGCCCATTAAATTTTTTAAAGTCTCAGCACCAGCTAAGCCACACAATTAGGTATTGATTTTTTTCCTGACCCCAACTAGAAGAAAGTGTATGGCAGGCCAGAGTTCTTCCCGAAGACACTGATATTCTTCCCCTAAGTTCCTCTGTGGTTACATACCTCTTAGAACTAAGAAGGAAAAAAAAAAGTGATGCTGGAGAAAACGGCAAAGTGGTAAGAGGAATATGCACTCTGCCAGGGAAAATGTTACATCCAACAAATAGCTTCTTGTTTAACTGCTGGGTCAGGAAATCTGTCTTAGTCATATTCGTTATGTCATGCTCTACACAGCTGCTACCCCCACCTCCAGAGATGAAGGAATGCTGCATGAGAATAGATGGATACTGACATACCAAAAAAGAAAAGCAAAGCAAAGCAGGACTTAAATAAAGCAAAACATATTGGTAAATGCTTTGAAAAGCCATTATCTCTTCAATGTATATTAAACTGTATTGCTCACAAGTCAACCATTGGGTTATATTCTATAATTTTTGTTTAACAATTAAAATTTAAATCCAGTCATGTTTTAAGAGTTTTGACTCCTGGCCTTCGGGGAAACACGATGATGCATGGGATGCAGAAACTGAGAAGACAGGTGGGATTCTCTTCAACTTGAAGATAAAACTTATTAACAACAGACTAATTCAAGTTGTGATCATTTATTCAGAAAAATTAATCAGAATGTCAATGTATGTGAGGAATAGTGTAACATAAAGGGGCCTGTTTGTTGGGGATTTTCTGTCTTGCCCAGTTCCTCCAGCTGTTTAGCCCCAAAGAAAAATCAATCACACAGGAGATCTCTATAAGTTATAAAGCTGATTGGCCCTTTAGGTCAGGCTTCTTATTAGTTTTTATGACTTATCTTAACCCATTATTTTGATCTATTTTAGCCATGTGGCTCAGGACCTTTTTCAGTGGGGCAGCTCACATCCTTCTGCTTCGGTGATCTGGGCAGGAGTGGGAGGAATCAACTTCCTCCTCCCCAGAATTCTTCTGCTCTCCTTGCATCATTTCCACTTCCTGTCTGGTTTTCCCACCTACACCTCCTGTCTGGCCAATCAGCATTTATTTAAAACATGATTGACAAAATACAGACAATTCTCCTACACCAGAATAGGAGCATTACTTTAGAAGGTATCTTAACTAGGGTCTCTGTTGTGGTAAATATGACCAAGAACACCTTGGGGAGGTAAGGATTTATTTCAACTTACACTTCTAAGTAACAATCCATCACTGAGAAAAAGTCGGGCCAGGAATGTAGAGGCAGGAACTGAAGCAGAGAACACAGGTGAGTGTTGCTTACAAGCTTACTCTCCAAGGCTTGATCATCCTACTTCCTTATACAACCCAGGATGGGGAGGGATGCACCACCCACCATGGCATGGGCCTTTGATATCAATTATTAATCAACACAGTACCCCACAGACTCACCAGCAGGCCAATGTGATGGAGGCATTTTTCATAATTAAGATTCTCTCTCCCCAGATCTGTCTAGCATAGTGTTGATTTGACAGATATCAGCAAATCACATCACCTTTTATTTCTTACTCTCCCCTAAGATTTCATATTAATAACAATATCACAATGTAGAACATTCCAACTTTTAAGAGTTCCATAGTATTTAAAAGTTCAGTCCGGGCAGTGATGGCACACACGTTTTAACCCAGCCCTCGAGACAAAGTCAGTCAGATCTTTTTGAGTTCAAGCCAAGCCTGGTCTACAAAGAGAGTTCCAGGAAAGCCAGGGCTGTTACCCAGAGAAACCCTTTCTCAACAAACAAACAAACAACAAAAACACTAACAAGGTCAGTCTCTTTAAAACATCCAGTGGTTCAGAACCTCTTAAATTTATGCAAAGTTTCTCTGAATATCTAGTCTGTCTAAAATATTCAAAGTCTCTCTAAGATTTTGAAGTCTCTCAATTGTGATTCCTTAAAATCAAGAAATAACTTAAATGCCTTATTTTTTTTTAAATTAAAGAGGGGTGATCCAGAATACAGTCACAATCAGACCAAAGCTAAACTAAATAATAAGTTCAGCGCTGGGTATACAGTACACACTCATGGTTCTTTGAATTCTAAAGGGCTCGATTTCTCAGACTTTGCTACCTGCAGTGAATACAGTTTGACCTTTAGGCTCAGGTTGTCTCCATCTACAGTACTCCATCATGTCTACTGTCCTTGTTGGCCATCCCATGATACTCTCATTTTCAATATGCCGGGATCTCTACTGCAAATGGGCTGCACCTTAAGCAACAACCTCTCCCCATTTCTCTTTAATTATTTTTACCTTGCCACATGGCACCAAGTGTTCACATCTCTCCATAACCCCTTCAATCCTGGGGATTCTACAGTTGCCGAGGCTGCTTCTTTTTCAGTTGCTTCTACTGGTCTCTCCAGGACCCTATCGTGCCTTCAAAACCAGTACCACCTGGCAAACTCTTACACATCACTAAGTTCTTCTGCCAGTACAAGGGACAGCCTTGGCACCCTCTGAACCAGTTTCTGTGTACTGACCCTGAGGAAAGACTCCCAGAAGATGTTACCTGAATGATGCTGGCCTCTTCTGAATCACCATCAATTTCTCAGCTCTACTTAACCAGCATTGACTGTCCCAGCAAAGCAAAGATTTCACTTTTGTGGCTATGGTCTCTTGTTAATCGCAGCTGATTCTTCAGCCCCATCCGACCAGACCTTCATACAAAATACCTCACAAATGGCCAGTAGAGTCTTTGCTTCTCTCTGAAACTTCACAAGCCAGGACCTTTGAAGAAGAATGCTTTCCTTTTCCTCCCCATTTCTGACTGATCTCTCCCCAACACTGCCCCTTATATAAGACAGGTTGATTATTTTTTATTTGTTGTTCAAATAGCAATCAATGATATCTTATTTTACTTTCTACAGAGTGAAAAAAATCTTTCAATTAAGGTGAATGAATAACAGATCAACAACTTTCATGAATTGCTTTTTCAGAAATTGCATATTACTAATAA